ATATATATAGCGCTCTTTTAAAGAGCGTTATATATACAAACGTCACTCTTTTTTTTAAACACATATTTCCATCACACTTGTCCAAAAGAATCACAAATGGGTTCTCGACTCAACTATTGCACCCATGGTCTTCTATTAAATCCTCTTTAACATCTAGGGACCGTCGAATTTCAATCGAGTACATTCTATTGAGTTTTATTGTTTACTTGTATGCCTTCAAGTTTAGGTCGAGTAGAAGCTTATCCATTATCATCAACAAAATATTTGCAGCTTTTATTCTCTATTTCTTGCCATTATTTGTCTTGCGTTTATGTGGCTAGGGCCTTATATACGTAATTGAAGGAATAATATTTTATTAGAAATCTCTAAAAGATCTCTACAAGTCTTTATTTTCTCCACAGATCTCCACACATAAAATAAGCTATTAATACCCCTATTTATAATATCACGATACCTATTTCAACTAGAAACAAGAAAGCCTATTTCTATATTAATTCTAACTACACATTCTATTTAGACATGAAATAAATGAACTAGCAAATATCAAATCCTAAACAATTAAGGTTTCATACTACAACTTTGAATTAGTTTTCTAACATTCTCCCGTAATTCAAAGTTGTATATTGTGTGTTGGAGCACTTCTCTCCAATCTTCTACTTTTGTTGAAGCACATGTCTCCAACCCTCGTTAATGTACTTTGCCACCAACAACCAATTTTGTTGAAGCATTTGTCTCCAACTCCTGTTGATGCACTTTGTCACCAACACTTAATTTACTCTCGTTGATGCACTTTATCATCAACAACCAAATTTATTGAAACCCGTTGATGCACTTTGTCACCAACACTTAATTTTGTTGAAGCACCTGTCTTCAACTACCGTTGATTTACTTTGTCACCAACATCCAATTGCTGATGCATCTGTCACCAGCTCCTAATTGTTGATTCACTTGTAATCAACTTCCAAATTTTTTTAACATCTCTTAAACTTTTAGAGAAGAGTTTCCCACTCTTGTGTAAAATTGCTTGCACCTATTTAAACTTGCAATATTGCAATTTTATTGTTAATCCACCTATCTCAAACTCTTAGAGAGGACCTTTGATCTTCTTGTGCCATATTTGCTAGCGTCTCCTTGAACTTGAATTTTATTCCGTCCTTCTCAACATGATCTTTTTTATGCATATATCACTGGCCTGGCGTTTTTCAAAATACTCAATGGCAGACGGGCGACATATATTGGCTAGCGCCACCCGCCAACAGTGAAAGTTACTTGATTCTCTCCCAAGATCGCAGAAGCTCTGATTCTAAAAAGTTCTAAATGAAAAGATTATTACTAGCTATTGTATTTGAAGCTGTTTAAGCACCCATATGTCAATCCTCTTAAGCCAATGCACCCGAAGTCTATCCAATATTATAAGTGCTTAAAGAACTTATATCATACAGTATTAAATAATCAATATAACTATATGGATTCATAAGCATCTAATGGATGCTTCAACATCCACTCTTCTATACGTGGATCCGCCGTAGGTTGTATGTACCAAATTTTTTAAGTTATCACTCATGCTTACTTCTAACAACACTTGCAGCTGGTCTCTAAAGAACTTGACAATGTTCGAAAAAAGTGTACTATTATTAATGCATATAAATGAAATCTATTTGTAATTTGTTACCAATATAATGGGTCTAATTTGTGGTGTCCAACTGTGAAAAAGTAGAAACAATATTTTTTTTTAAAAGTAGAAACAATTCAAACAGGAGGAAGGATTTTTTTTTTTTATAACTGCCCTTTCCTCTTTCCATCATTAGTGTCCAAACATGGAGTCAAGAAATTCATATACCATTCATTGTGCCAAACTTGTTGGGCCGCCACTATCCCAAAAGATTTGAGTTGGACTACGAACGTGTAAATTAATAGAAGAACTAATCTAAATGGCAAGCCATTTTTAGCCACTTAAATTAAAAATAGATTGCACATATATAATTTATGTATAATATGTATATAATCATATATACTTAGTGTATAATTTATGTATACCAGCTAAAAAACGTAAATATTGAATCCAGCCGGCAATTTATGGAAAGATCCCCCAAACTAATATATAGCAAGATTGGGTTAGGTATCTGTAGGCCCAGAATACTCTAGATTGGGCCAAGACCAAATATTTGGGCTTTGTATCTCTTGGCCCAGATGTCGTTAGTGAAGGAAAAGAGCAAAAAGAACTAAACATGACAACATTACCAGGCACTGTGGCTAAACCCTCCCTTTTGACTGTCTGGGGAAGGAAAACTCATAATCTCAGCTCTTAACAAACAAAGAGATAGATATTGGGAGAGATCGGCATGGGAGATGGCAATACAAGCAGCAGAGGCGGCAATTCCAATAGCAGCAATCGGCCAGAGTGGCTGCAACACTACGATTTAATCGGAAAAATTGGGGAAGGTACTTACGGTTTGGTTTTCTTGGCTAAGATCAAAGCTAACCGCTCCAAATCTATTGCTATCAAGAAGTTCAAGCAATCTAAAGACGGCGACGGCGTTTCTCCCACCGCCATTCGCGAAATCATGGTCAAAATTAATATTAATTACTAAGTTCTTCTAGCAGAGAAATGTAAGTATTTATTTAGTTTTAACAATGGAGATATTCTTTGATTGATGCAGTTGCTTCGGGAGATTACCCATGAGAATGTTGTAAAGCTTGTCAATGTTCATATCAATCAAGCTGATATGTCCCTTTATCTCGCTTTTGACTATGCCGAGCATGACCTCTATGTGAGTCTCGTCTCGTCTCCTATACATTTAATTTTCCTATATAATTAGTGTTCCTGAAACAATATTGGGCATCTTAATAGGAAATTATTAGACATCATAGAGACAAGGTCAATCAGGCAATCAATCAGTACACAGTCAAGTCCCTTTTATGGCAACTGCTTAATGGCCTCAATTATCTTCACAGGCAAGCCATATTTATTAGCTCTCCTTTTTTTAGAACTATATTCTTTGGCTTTAATAATATTCCACTTCCTTTGTAGTAATTGGATTATACACCGAGACCTAAAGCCATCAAATATCTTGGTATGATTCTGGCCTGTCTGTCCATCCTTACATCTCTTCTTTTACATTTTTTTTTGTAAATAACATTCTTATAATTAAAACATTCCTATACTTGTATCCTTTACTTCTCCTTACAGGTAATGGGTGACGGAGAGGAACATGGAGTTATTAAAATCGCTGATTTCGGCCTTGCAAGAATTTATCAGGCTCCATTGGAACCATTAGCTAAGAATGGGGTGAGACACACTTGTTATTGCAACTATAGCTTCTCCATCTCTCCTTTTTGGTTTAGCTTGTAATTGCAACTATGTGCGGTGCTTCTGCTTCCCCTTACCCCAGTGTAGAGTAGTTACGCAAATTATATATAAAAAGCTTAAGCTATTCTCTATCAAGTGATATCAAAAGGTGTGGTCTAGGCGGTCAATTGAGCTGGAATGGACCAGGGAGACAAGGGTTCAAATCTAAGCAGAAAAAAGAAAAATAATTACTCCCACAATCCCATTTTATGTGATGGTGTTTGATTGCGCCCAAACTTTTAGAATGAAGAAATACTTTTGGAACTTGTGGTCTAAAACAAGCCATAGAAATATTAGTGGCTATAAATCAACACATTAAGGGTAAAATGGATCTTTTAAAGTTGAATTGTTACTAAATATAGAAAAGTGTCATTATTTTTGGGATTGACTAAAAAGGAAACAACAACAACAACAACAACCCAGTAAAATCCCACTAATGGGGTTTGGGGAGGGTAGTGTGTACGCAGACCTTACCCCTATCCCGAAGGAGTAGAGGGGCTGTTTCCGAAAGACCCTCGGCTCAAAAAAAAAAACAAAAAGACAGAAGAGCAAAAAGGGAGACAATATTAGTATCACAACAACAATCGTAGGATAAATAGGAACACCATGAAATCCAGAAGAAAGATGCAAAGTAAAGGGANAGACAATATTAGTATCACAACAACAATCGTAGGATAAATAGGAACACCATGAAATCTAGAAGAAAGATATAAAGCAAAAGCGATAGCTAGTAAATATGACCTGCACTGAAAACGAAATAGTAAGCCACAACATTCCCACTAGTTATCTTAGACAAAAACCCTACATGGCTAGTCCCACCATGTTACGAAGTAAGGCACGACTCAACTACCTCCTAACCTACAACCCTAATACTCGACCTCCACATCTTCCTATCAAGTGTCATGTCCTCGAAAATCTGGAGACTCGCCATATCCTGCCTGATCACCTCTCCCCAATACTTCTTAGGCCGCCCTCTACCTCTTCTCGTGCCCTCCGTAACCAGCTGCTCACACCTCCGTACCGGAGCATCTGGGCTTCTCCTCTGAACATGTCCGAACTATCTAAGCCTCGCTTCTCGCATCTTGTCATCAATGGGAGCCACATGCACCTTCTCCTGAATATCATCATTCCTAATCTTATCTATCCTAGTGTGCCCGCACATTCACCGCAACATCCTCATTTCTGCTACTTTCATCTTCTGGATATGTGAGTTCTTAACGGGCCAACACTCAGCCCCATACATCATGGCCGGTCTAACCACCGCTTTATAAAACTTACCTTTGAGTATCAGTGGCACTCTCTTGTCACACAGGACTCCAGATGTTAACCTCCACTTCATCCATCCTACCCCAATACCGTCTGTGACATCCTCGTCCATCTCCCCTTCCCCCTGGATAACCGAACCAAGGTACTTGAAGCTGCCTCTACTCGGGATGACCTGCGAATCAAGCCTCACATCCACGCCCACTTCCCCTGGCTCAGCGCTGAACTTACACTCCAGGTATTCCGTCTTCGTCCTGCTCAGCTTGAAACCCTTAGACTCAAGAGCCTGTCTCCAAACCTCCAGTCTCTCGTTAACACCAGCTTGCGACTCATCAATCAGAACTATGTCATCGGCGAATAGCATGCACCATGGCACATCCCCTTGAATATGGTGTGTTAACGCGTCCATCACCAGGGCGAATAAGAACGGACTGAGCGCAGAACCTTGGTGTAACCCCATTACAACCGGAAAATGCTCAGAGTCGCCTCCTACTGTACTAACCCGAGTCTTAGCCCCATCATACATGTCCTTAATCGCCATAATGTAGGGAACCGACACACCTTTTGCCTACAGGCATCTCCAGAGAATTTCTCTAGGAACCTTGTCATACGATTTCTCTAGGTCAATAAACACCATGTGCAGATTCTTCTTCCTCTCTCTGTATAGTTCCACCAACCTTCTAACAAGGTGTATAGCTTCTGTAGTCGAACGACCCGATATGAACCCAAACTGGTTGTCGGATATAGACACTGTCATCCTCACCCTCGCTTGAACCACCCTCTCCCACACTTTCATGGTGTGACTCAGTAATTTGATACCCCTATAATTGTTACA